TATTGTCTTATTTATTATTTGGTGGCTGTCATAATTTTTAGTATAGTAGTTGTGACTTATTCATACTATATACATTTGGCTTCCGCAACACGAAGTCCTATTATGCGCGGGGTCCTGAAAAAGACCGGACCACAGGTTAGAGGGAGAGAACCTACTAATTGAGAAAAACGCTCTCTAGCGAAAGATTTTTCATGCCAAGATATGAACTCAAAGACCTCTTATTAAAGTTAGACGGAGAGGGATCTCAATTATCTGAAACTCAATTTTAGCTACCAACACTATTTTCGAGAAAATATTTAGGAGTATGAATTTTGGGATTAATAAATTAAACTAGCAAGACAAATAGTAACTTTGTACACCTCAAATAGTCAACACCACGAATGAATATCATCAAGTTAAAAACAATTTATCATTTAATCTTACTAAAGTTCAAGTTTTAAAAGATCAAAAGTTATGACTTGCCGCTTTCAGTTTACAGGTTACCACTTTTTACAGTAACTTGCTGCATGGAACAGTTTAGAAAAATGGACGCTTCACCTAACTCAATTCCAATATAAAACACTCTTTCTTCCATTCAGATGCTCTTTATTCACATCATTGTGATACAGGTATGTAAGAAAATGGAAGGCCAATATTTTTCTGACTCGGAACAAACAAAAGGAAGGAAAAAAAGAAAAAAGAGAGGCAAATATGGTGCAGGTATGTATAGATGTTGAAGGAAAAGAAAATTAGAAGAAAAGGAAAATAGGGTAGGTATGTATAGTTTATGCAGAAAATAATGATAAATCTATTTCTTCATTATCGGTCTATTGTAATTGTGTAAATTCTTGTAGCAAGTGTTATAGTTAACTTCAATGCAAGTAAACCGGATTTGCTGACGTTGCTTGTAGGGGTGTGCATTCGATTTATCGATTCGATTTTGACCCTTATCGATAATTACTTATCGATTATCGATTTGTACATATGCTTATCGTTATCGTTTCAATAAGGTTTCGATTTTTTCGATTTCGATTTATCGATTTTTGGGGCTTATCGATTCGGTTATCGATTACACCAATAAGAAAATTTACGGGATTCCACGGAAAGTATTATCGCTACAAACACACCTAACTAATATGGACAAAAGGAAGCTAAAATAAGAAGAGCACCGTTTATAACATAAAAATTGTGTCAACAAGCACATGCAACGAAACTAAAGTAAGGGATCAAATGTATGTCACCAACACTCCAACAGTATAAACAAACAAAAAATCAAAATACATCATCACGGCTAATTCTGTTTTCCATTAATTTGAACTTCATTCACTTGAGCTTTAAATATGATCATTCCTTAAATGTGGTAGAGGAAATAATAGGGTTAGAGACTTAGGGTAAAGGAAAGGGTATTATAGAATAAGGGTAAAAAAAATTTAAATTTTTTTAAAAAAAATTACTGTATCTTATCGGTTTATCGATAAACCGATAATCGAAGAGGACAAAATCGAAATCGAAATCGATAAGGAAAATTTTGAAATCGATAAACCGATAACAAATAATCGATTCGATTTATCGATAAACCGATTCGAATGCACATCCCTAGTTGCTTGTGTTTTATTCAAATGTACAGTTATCAGGTATGCTTCAACGACTACTAGAGAAATAAGGGCAAAAACCACTTCTTCATATTCGTAGACCTGAACTTGATGAACCAAAAAAAGCTTTGTTTCCCCTGAACGGTTGGAAATAAGCTTTTTATTTTTCCATATTTACCAAAACTGTGATAGCGTGGTGCAGTTTACTAAGTTGTGATCACAAATGGAAAGTGAGTATGTGTAGGTGCATGAAAGAAAATTACTATTAAAGGAAAGAAAATGAAGAAAAAAAAGGAAAATTTCGTGCAAGTATGTACATTGATGCAGGAAAAGAAAATTGCTACTTAAAGGAAAGTTAGCAGATATATTGATGGATCGAAGCCCAATTTCAATCCCAGTTTCAGTTTCCAATTAGGGATGTAAATAGGGGGCGGGGTGGGGCAGGTCTAACTTTGACCTGCTAAAAAATTAACCCACCCTGCCTTGCCCAGTTTAACATTTTTCAATAATTATTAACTTAGCCTAGTGACATTGATGGAGTAAGGCTGTGGAAGACCAAATATCATATCGCCAAGATTTTGTTTTCATGTTCAAGTTCACAGTTCACAGTTCAAGCCGTTACTAATAGTGTGACCCTCTTTAATGTACAATGGAAGCGAAAAGAGAGGCACGTTTTACATAATCCTACCTAAAGCATTATAAGACCCTCAAGGATACATAAA